GAATCGTTCATTTTCCTTAATGCAAAATTTACGATGATTTACTCTATTAGCGCAACCACTCATCATACAGCTATCCGGCTCTTTGCTTCAAGTTTAATACAAAAACGCATGACTGCACTGGCAACATTGTTGTGTCTCATCCTAGGATTTGTCCTTCGTTCAGTGCATCTTCTGAGGGGAATACATCCGGCACTGAAACGTGCTTGCACAACCGGTCGTTGTACCTCCAATGATATATAAATAATTCCTTCCTTTTTTACCAGTAAAGAGTTTTTTTTTTTCATTTTGCGGTATTAGCTGAATGTCAAAATTTGAGCATTATTTTCAGATCCTTAATACGCAACATGCACGGACAGTTGTTAATTTGAAGAATCATTTGGCTGTTGCCAAAAAGATTGCAATTATGATTGATGTGTTAAAGCTGAACACTCCGACAACGTCGGCTTCGCTGACCACTGGAAACGATGATAAGGTTCCTCTTCTTTTAACTTTGATTTCATTTTAATTTTATTTATTGTCATTATCCGGCGTTTACTGACTGTGTAACGTATTGCAAAAGCGGCAAATGACAAATCCTAGTAAGGAATGAAGGCCAATCCCCTTTTCTGTACTCCTTCTGCCACATATGCATCGATGTGTGATATGCAAATATCTCTTTTTGTGAATCGAAACTCCCTCGCGATATAAAAACTATATGATTGTAACTGATAAGACTTCGGTATTATTATCGTGTTCTGAATGGTGGCAGACTGCTGGTTGGTTTCTGCGCCTGACATCGCTATTTCCGGAATTTTATTTTTTTTTAAAATAAATAATTTTTTTTTGTAAAATTTTTATTATTGCTTCACTTCCAGCAGCATACACATAAATAAGAGGCGAAAAAAAAAATAAATTTTTTCTTATTTTTTTAAAATAAAATTTGTTTTGCTATGAAATCCTCCACTTCTAGCAACATACAGATAAATAAAGGGCGAAGGTCGCGCAAAAAAGTCGCAATGTTTAACTCATCCAGTGAGAACTGTTAGTGACGGGAACATCTTTTTCAAGGGCTAATAATTTTCAAATTTATTTATTGCACCATCATTGTAGTACAGCGAATATCATGAAGTGTTTGATAATATCATCAAAACTCATCGAGGCGAAAGTCGAAACATCTTCCACATCTCAATTTCTTTGATAGTAAAAATGTGCTACCGCCTCGGCTACTTTCAAGTGAAAGTGAAAGTAGCCGAGGCGGTAGCACATTTTCAAAAGCAGCCAAAGCTGACAGGATTTTTGTTGGCCACCTTTTGCTAGGGCTATTAGGCTGAATGCAATATCGACAGCTTAGCATGCGTCACTGTCAACTAACCAACTCGGCGGATCAACGATAAATAAAAGGATTGAACTTCAACTGTTGTCCACTTAATTCAGCACAATTTAATATTTTACTATTGTTCACTTAATCAACACAATTTAATATTATATCAAACCTGCCAGGGAGAAACTGTTAACACAAGAAACTTATAGAGAATTTTTCCAAATTTTTATAGCCTTTTGAATGCAAAATAGTGGTTATAGCAGCTAGAAGCAGCAGGATTTTTCATCTTATTTCACATCGGTAGTGGCAGCAGTCCAACTCTAAGAATAATCTGCTGTAGCTGACGCTTCTTAAGCTTACGTAGAGCTTGAACTTAGTTCGATTTCCTAAACCGCTGGGGTCACATAACTTGTCTAGTGAACTCTAGGAAGAATCGAAGGATTCGGATTCAAAAGACTCGACGTCTGAGAATTCGGATAGTGGTTTTGATGCAAGCAGCGAAAATCAGTCGGGCGCTGAATCGCCAAAATCATCATCGGCTGTGCCTATTGAAGAAATGCGACCGCTGGTCCGGCTTTGCATATCTGCCGCTTTCTATAGCCCACTGGTGCAGCGCATGGATGTTGCCCTTCTTGGCGTCCGAACGCTTGCTGATCAGCCGAGCATGCTAGACGCTGTTAAAAATACTGTTGAACAGGTTTTTGAGCTTATTTCTCAGCTTCAGTTGAAATTAAAGTTAGAATTAAATCCCCCTCCATGTTTACCTCGATGAGAAGGGTGATGGCGCTCGAAGGATAAGGCGATATCCCTTGTAAAAAAAAAGTAGCTGCTGACTTTACTGCCAAGGTCCTCGATTATTTACAAGTGAATGGAATTTTTGAAGACCTTTTACAGATTTTTTTTTTCGAAGACCTTTTCTCGTGCAAAAATTCTGAATATAAAATCAATACGATTTTTCCTATCGTACCATCCAGTGACCTCTGTCCGTGTCCCACTTTATAGGAAATTGCTTGAAAAGTAAATTAAAGCCGATTTTACTTCCTGGC